AAGATTCGCAAGGGTCAAGCAGTTGGCCTCATGATGGAAGCTACATGTTTCCAGAGTCTGAGACGTATCCTGTATAAATATGCTCGGGAGGTGAGTAGATCTAATGATAGTGTGTAATGATATTCCTTCATCCTTCTCCTCCTCTTCCTCCTCCTCCTCTTCCTCCTACTACTCCTGCTCCTTCTCCTCCTCCTCCTTCTCCTTCTCCCCCTCCTCCTCCTCCTCCTCCTCCCCCTCCTCCTCCTCCTCCTCCTCCTCCTCCTCATCACTATTGATATCATCATTGCCATCATTATTATCATGACTATCACCACCATCATCATCATCATCATCATCAATATGATCATCAGCTTTTTAAAAATATTATGCATCACAATTTAAGCAAGGAATAACATCAGAATATGTCGAATATTCAGGCTAATGATAATTTTTTTAGACTGTCTAATTACGATATCGTCTGCCAAGAGCCAGAAAGGCGTAACTTTGTTAAGATATTACGCAGTGAACCACTGTTTAAAAAAACAAATGATGAAGTAACTATACTTTGCTTCACATATCTGCATCTTTAAACCCAAAGCTTAGTGAATACACGGAACACCTTCATTGCATGCAGTGGTCATTTATTTACACACAATCTTGTAAAGATAAAAATGCTGCGGTTTTCCACGTTATATCTTAACTAGTCATGTACTTTAACATTGATTTTATGTCCTTCTGAATCTCATCAGATTAAACAAGTTATCCGTGGGATTGGCTTGCAGTATTTTTTCTAAAAGCTTATTTTTGTTTTTGTTTTGTGTCTCTCTTAAATCTCTTTCAAGTCTCTCTTAGCTTCACTCTTGTAATTCTTGTTTTATGACGTCAAAGCTGTCAGTCACCCATGATGAATAATTTTTCTTCTCCCTTTCCTGACATGTAGATTGGAAAAACCATTCCCCCTGGCGATCCTTCTGCTCCTAAGACCCAGAAGATCATCAGCACCGTCACGTCGCTGGGAGAGGACACCATGATCACGGGGTACAACCTCTTCCCACCTCTCTATGTCTCCATGGCGATCATGCTTGCCCTCATCATCTATAACTACTGGAGTACGTTGGTTCTCCTTGGGGATCAGTTAGACTGAGTAATGGACTCAAGATGAACTTCAATGGGACTTTAATGCGATTGCATTGTGAAATGTGGAATCGATCAGAAAAGGTTGATCATCTAGCATATATATATTGGTGTCTATTGCAAGGTTCTGGAATCATCGAAATGATAAAAAAATTTGGCCCGGATGTGGTAAAGTTACAAGCACTGTACACAGAAAGATGTATACGGGACTACACAAACATGTGGCATAAAAATCTGTCCCGATTTGTATGCTGTTACACGCCATACCAGTATTTAGAATATTAAGGCATTTGAAGAGCCATGCTTTTCAGGGATTATTTTTAATCTGATGTTCTTCTACACTTGCATAATAACAATGATAAAGCTCACAAATTATATTTCACCTCTTCCCAGAACTCAACCTTCTCTTTAATTGCAGAGGTTTGATACCTACATTACACTGGACAAAGAAACTTGTAAGCAGAAGACTTCAGACTTTATAGCATCACAAAGAGAATTGCAATTTGAGTAATTAATCCTCCATTCAGTTCACCATGTTTTTTGAATAACAAACTTTTGTCTGACATAAACAAAATGAAACCGCAGTATTGAACATTTTTAAAAGCAGGATAAAAGATGACGCTGGTGTATTGCATTGTTTGTATCATAAGGAAACAGGGTAGGTGTTGGGATATAAAGCTTTAACATTCTTTGGGATCCAGTTCTGGCAGTGTCTTCAGCCGAGGAAGAATGAACCGGAACTCATGAAGGCATGTCTGTGATACTCATATTTTTTTCCACTGATGCTTATTTTTCCTGACTTCTGACAAAGCAAGTACTAACCAGTGGACTTACTTTTTTTAGTCCATTCCGAGGGACTTGGTAATTTGGGATGGATGGCTCATTACAAGACATAACTGCATCTACATTCGTTTTTTTTTTTTACTCTAGACAGTTACTTTAATACTGGAATATATCACACACATGTTGGGTCTAGTGAGTATGTCAACCAACCTGTTATGGTTTGACTACCACCATGGCACTAATATCTTTTAGCAAGACATTACTAAGATACATGGTGTCTGTTATGATGAAATGCTATGAATGCCTTTGGGCATTTTGCATGGTAACCTGGCTAAAGCCAAGGGGGTAATGATTATAAACTTTATATCCAGTTCTTTGATTTTGAATATATATCTTGTTTACTTTTCTGTTGGTTAGGTGCTCTTGTACCATGGAGACATTAACAAGTTATTGCATTGTCAAGTTAATGGTTCCTGTTTCTGTGTGTGTAGTTCAGGTCCTGTGTTTTTATACAAAGAGTTATTTTTCAGATGAAACACTGAGAATTCATTACACTCTGTCTTTTTGCTTATGTGTAGATAGATACTATCATATGTACACAAATAAAACATAGATTTGTGTGCATGATCATATCATGGAATATGCAATTATATTTGAAAATGATGTTAATGTACTGTAGAAAACAATCATAAAATATAAAGAAAATGCATTGAGGGAAAGAGAGAGAGAGAGAGAGAGAGAGAGAAGGAGAGAGAGGGAGAGAGAGAGAGAGAGAATGAGGCAGAGAGGGAGGGAGGGAGGGAGAGAGGGAGGGAGAGAGAGAGACAGACAGGGAGACACGGATGTAAAAACAATAGTTGCCAGTGCTGTATCAAAATTACCTGAAAGAAATTTCAATTATTATTTTTAATTTAATTACAAATCACTTTATTCAGGTGATTGGTACACTTTAAATTGTATTTTGGCAGCACCGACTCAACCATGGATATTATATACAGATGGTTTCTGGTGACACTTCTCAGTGGAGTGCTCTCTGTTGATAATGTGATCGATCACATAATCTGAAATTCTGCCAGCCATTTGGACTTAATTGTATTTCATCAAGCATTTTAAAATTGGATGTGTTGTACAAGTATTATGTAATACTGCAGTGCACCAAGATTTCCTGTATGCTGAAAGATACGATGCTACTTTCAACTTTGTTGCACCAAAGCAATCATTATCTTTCTTTCTAAGCAAAATCTTGTAGATGTATCATTGTATTTATGGGCATTATGTCTAAAACCTCAGTCACACTGCCGGCAAACCGACCGATTCTTGGCTAAAGGGGCAATTCAACTTTATTTTTCAGTCTGTTGTCGGGCTTGCCGGTGTGACCGAGGTAATAGAATAGAGAGTGAACATTGGATGGAAAAGGAAACTAAATTTTTTATTTTTCACAAGCTTTTCATCCAAATCGTGATATGTTCACATGTAAATATTACTGAGACAATGCAACGGATTTTGTTGTATTTATTGCGATTTTGTACAGCAGCTGCACAAATTATGAAGAAGCATTGTCATTTATTTCATTGCAATGGGCAACATTGCGCAAAATTCTGTGTATATGTGTGTGTTTTAGTTTATGCTGAACATAAATAATTGAATTGCAATTAAAACGTGTACAAAAGTAGGAAGCCTGTTTTGTTGGTTATTACTTAATAAGCCTGGTGTATGTTTCATTTGTCATATCTGCCCGAGGATGCAGCGCTTGTTATTTAAATTGAGAAAGTTTAAGAACAGCAGAAACAAAATTTGGGCAGTGATGCCATTGAGATTGCCTCTCGGGTCCTTTTAGTTGCAATTTATTCTCATTCATGCTTTATGATGGGGGTCCTACCCAGGCTTCATCATTGGCATTTGTTTAGTTATCTGTCAGGCACTATATATATTATGAGGGGAAACAAGAGAAGAGAGAGAGAGAGAGAGTGAAAAAGTTTTTTAAACCCGATGTTAGCCAGTATTGGGAAGGACCTAAATATCTAGAGGGTTATGGTAAAGATGTGTCAATTGAGGTGTGGAGAGGGAGAAAGAGAGAGAGAGAGAAGAAGAAAGAGAAAAGTGAGAGGGAAGGAGATAGAGAATAGCAAAAGAGAGACTACAAAGAGAAATGGTTTAGATGCTACATTTTTGCATATTTGAGGAAAGACGATTGAAGTCATGGTTATAAGGAGGAACGAAAGAGAAGCTGTTGAGACTGGCCCAAATTTCATACCTTTCAAAATTTACTAAAAACTCCCCCCCCCCCCCCCCCCCCCCACTTTTCATTTCATTTCAACTTCAAGTTTCTCCATAATACTGAGATCTGTATATGTTGTAATTTTTTAGTGATTATCACTGTGGGAGACATGTTCAAATGTAAAATTATCAAAAAGGAAAATTATAAAATTAAATCTTCTCATTTGCTTGTAGATAGTTCAATTGTGTTGGGTCTATTTGTGATGAGAACCTTGGTCATTATTAGGAAGGGCCCAAAGATCACACATAGATTTCAGTCTTCAACAGCAGCCTCTCTGACATTGAGCAGAGAGTTTTAAAATCAGATAGGGTGTGTTGTTACTAGAGGAAACTTTCTCACAATGTTTTTTCCAATACATCCTTTCACGGTTACAAGAGTGCACATGCCCAGACATGAGCTCCATTTGAAATTGCGAGTAAAAATTGTGACTAACTTTTATTTGATGCAGCATGCAAACTGCACGTGTCGCTGTGATATGAGCGCAGTCAGTGACGACGCAATGTTTACCCGCAAATTAAAATGGCGGTCTTAACCCTGAAGGGGTGTATTGTAGCCTTAATTATCAAATATGCAAAAATGAATACAAAAATTGTAAGTCGAGTTTGTAAAGCAGTAGGAAATTTGGCATTCGATGGTACAGATTTCAACTATATATGCAGAGTCTCTCAATCAGAATATTAAAAAACATGTATGTCACTAACATATTTGTAAAGTTTTAAAAAATAAGTAATCGGTGAGACTACCTTATTATAAAATAAAGAAAGACAAAAATGTAATTTTATCTCCACATCACTATAAAATAAATAAAAGAGAAAACCAAAAGATGTAAATGGGAAGAGTAGAAGAAACAACTTTATTCAATCTCACTTCCAAATATCTTACAACATTTCAAGAAACATATATTATCATTCACACAGAAGACAGCAGATCAGGACTTGGTGAGTTATGTGTTGTGATTAAAAGTGCATAAGTGGCAGGAATGAAAATGTATCAAATCAAAAGGAAAGATACCAATAAGTATATTAAAACTGAATATCAAGGCAATCTAGTTGACTTTCAGATACTGCATGATATATTTTTCATGATCTTACCCAGAAGTATAAACTTTCAGATTTGACATTTCACATGAAATCTGTCTTGCATGTTCACTTTGGGAAATATTCTTTTTAAATCTTGAATTTTGGTAATTAAGAAGTGACAAATGAAGATTTGTGCTTAGGCATAAAAATGCAGAATCTTCACTTGTTACTATCAACACTCTACTTTTTCTAACCAAAAAAAAAATCAAGTTCTGTAAGATTTTAGTTGGACTTGTCTTGAGATGACAAGGAAATTGTAGGAGAATTTAAAGGACTAAATGGCTGTTTAAATGCAAGTAATGTAGAACAGCAGATCACATTTTGAGATTTAGATTTATGCAACCAAAGTCACTCAATGTTAAATAAAGTGTCTATACAGGTTTGATATCATAAACACCTGTGATAAAATGTGTAAGAGTTAAATTTCTCACAAAATACATGCAAATACATTCAAATATTGCATTATTTGCAAGAATAACAATGTTGACAACATAATGAATGCCTGATTAATTGTTGTCAACATCATTCACAGAAGAGATATTCATTTGTCAATATTATTTTTTTGAAGCTTTGTACAATAGGAAATTCAGGAGTCTCGTTAACGCTTGTTCCATTCTGCCTTCTCTGTAAATTCCTTTTCAACTTCATCAAGGAAGGGCTTGAGATATCTGCTATCCTGTAAGTGGGAGAACATGGAAGAAACAAATGAAATGCGATAGTTACATGAAAGTCATTGATATTTCAGAAAAAATAATGCCTCTGACACCATCTACGGTGATGGAGGTATACAAAATAATTAAACATGTATAACTGAAAAATAAAACTAAAGAACCCACCGCTATTCGTATAAGAGTAAGGGGAAACCCCGGTGTAGTGGTCTACCTACACACCCCAGTATATATATATATATATATATATATATATACATCCTGCAAGAATCTTCAGTATTGAAGGAGGCAGATTATCCATAAGAAGAAGAAATCTAACCCTTATAATCGTAGCTAAAGAAGCTTAGCATATTCAGGGAAATTCTTAAAAAATATATTCCTCACTCGAAAAGGAAAATATTGATGTTCAGATTTTCAGTATCATAACTACTGACTAGGCTACTCTTGTTAAAGATACTGAATAACTACAAGGAACCAGATGAATTACTTATCTATCTAACTGACTAAATAATCAACCCACTCAATTAGTAATCCACTAACCAATGTAACGAATAAAATAAAAAACTCAAAGCAATATATGAATAGATATCTTCAAAAATACCTTGCATAACAATTAATGTGAAGCCCTGCAGTGTACCAGGGGGAAAAATACACAGGGGCTTGGGGCAAATTTGCCCCCGAATTGCCAAAAAGAGCCCCCCCCCCCCAATTTGCCTAGAGTTCAATGCAAAACAAATTAAAGAGTGTTATTTTCATGCAAGCAAGTTTGAAAAGTAGCTCCTGAAATTTGTTAAATATTTTTTTCCCTGCAGTATACATACCTCTTCAAACTTTGTCCACTGATCTTTGGGCAGGATGGAGTGCTTGAGGGAGAGGTCCAGGGCTCGCTTAATCCTGAAGACTCTGTCATTGTACTCGTTCTCTGGTAGCCGTCTGATTGCCTCCTCCACGATGGGATTACTCCTCAGTGTGTCATCCCTCCTCAGGCCTGTACAGAGGAGATGAATAGTTGGGTGATTAGTTTGTTTTATATGATGATGACATAGATCCTAATCAAATGATTGGTTGAGAGCGTACACAACTACACATGACCAGGCATTTATTTTGCCTAACACGTAATTTTGATGACCGTCATTATCAAATGCTAATGACTGGTCATTAGTAAAATCACGTTATAAAACTTCCATTTTATAAAACAAATGAAACATAATCTTATAAAACATATAATACACATCATTTTGATGGGGCATTAGTAAAATTAGTATCACCCACACTCGATACCTTCAAAACAGTTTAAACAACCTTGGCTATCGCCTCGGGCATGTTAGACTGTTCAAAAGGTACCTACATGTATGTGGGTGATTCTTACTATTGCCCTCACTGCTGTGTATTATTTTTATTTTACCCAACAGTATGTGTATGCTTGCAAGTAGGCAACCAGGGGAGAGACCGCTTTTAATCCTCTCCATGGGCCTCAGGCCATACATTTATTCTAAAAATGTTGTTATCTTTTATATTAGAGAAAACGATTGCCCAGAACGAACACTTACCATTTGTGATATCTTTTTGAACTTACCGGTAAGCCGAACTCAACCAGCTGTGCGCAGACAGTGATCAACAACTGGCCCTACTTTTGATTTGTTATGGCATTTAATATTGCTTACCAACATAAAATATTTTCAAAATACCACCCTTGGTAATAAGGATGAAAGCATTACCCAAGGGCAATAGCACATTGACTTAATTTCAAAACCAGGGCCTCCCAGTGAGACCACTGCTCTACCACTGAGATATCGCACCTCCTCAACATTATGTCATGTGTAAGTAATGTAAGAAATGTCAGTCATTTGAAATTAATGCGTAGGGTGACCCCCTCCCCCTTCCTCCTCCCCCTGTCCATCTCTGCAAATTTTGTTTTCCCAATGAATAGCCATCGATACTTACCAAGCTGATTAAATCCGCACAGACTGTAGTACCATTTACGGAAGCCGCCGAAGAGGGGTGTACTTTTCGCTGAAAAAGATAAAAAATAGTACTCATAACTTTGTGCTTGTAATGGATGAAAATGTTTAATGCTTATAGAAGGGTTACCATATATGCTCTATTAAGTGAATATCATTAAAAAAAAACATTTAAAAAAAAACCTCACTCTCATGATTTGGAAAAACATACCAACATGGCAAACAACATTTCAACAACCATTTCTGGGTTGCTCGTTAGAGATTTTATGAGACCTCTGACTGAGTCTGAGGCTCAGTCAACATTGTTTCCACTCTTCTTATCTTTCAGCATCTATGTAATCTTGTTCTTCCTATTTAGTTCTGTCGGGACGCAAACGTTTCATCTTCTCCTATCAAATATGCAAGTTGAGATGGTGAGATTGCACTTTCACACCGGCCGTCTGATTTTGTGATTCCATTTCCTTTAGTAAATAATAAAACGCAAAGGAAAGACCCATTTCAAATTTTCAAATATCAAAATATTTTCTAAAATAACAATTGCAATTCCTATATTGAAAAAGATCTTTCCTTTGCATTTAATTCATTGGCATGAACAGAATCATATTTCAAAATGAATTGATATGGTCTAACATGATTAATTAAGATTTACAGTAGGGGCGCTGGTCCGAGTTTGTGAACTGTCCGCATAAACAAGGATATCCTCCTAAACGCGGTCAAATCGCATCCTAATAAATAAGGATCCTTCACATTTTGGGACGTTTTTTCTTCGTCGCTCTGCGGGTGTTCCAGATCAGCGCGTTGGCAATGCGAAAAAAAGTTTCTGCGGAATAAAATACCCTAAGTTCGGCGTCTACTTCTACAGGTTGTCCGTCTTCCCAAGACTATTATCGTTCATAACGTGAAAGTCTCTGTGCTGGATCAATGAGAAATACATTATTCATGGAGCATCATCGCATTATCCGTTTTTCGTATCGCTAAAGCACGGATCATTAATAAGGATTGTTCGCAAAAATGCAGATGATCCTTTTTCAGGAAGCGATTTGTTTGCGTCTACGAGGATATCCTTGTTTAAGCGGACGATCTTTATTTTTCGGACCAGCGCCCCTACTGATTTAAGGCTTAATCCGAGGCAATGAAAAATCACTCTAGGCCTGTCTTCATCGAGTTTGCCAAATAACTTGAATCTTCATCAGCTGGCCAGCCCGCAGTTGCATTTGAATTAGCGGGATAATTCGGTTGAGATTCCAGAAAATATCCCAAGAAATCTTTGTCTAGTTTCCAAAATATCCCGCTATTTATGATGAGCAAGTGTGTTGCGCTTCCAGGTATAAGTGACCATGATATCGTACTAGTAGAATCCTCTGTTGTAGCAAGTAGGAACAGACCAGTGAAGAGGAAAGTCTTTCTGTGGAAACATGCCAACATGGAGAATCTTAGAGAAGACTGTCTTGCCTTTCAACAAGCCTTCACAGAACAATTTGACAGGTCGAGTCCAGTACAAGCCATGTGGGACAACATCAAGACCACTCTCTTACATCTGATGTAAAAGCATGTACCATCTAAGATGACCTCAACAAGGTTCAGCCAGCCTTGGATCACTCGTTCGCTGAAGCAGCTGACCCACAGGAAGAAACGCAGCTTTGACAGAGCTAAGGCCAGCAACAGCCCTGAGGATTACGAAAAGTACTTGGCTGTAAAGAAACAGATGAGGAAAGCATGTAAAAATGCATATTACAAATATGTTGAAGATATTGTCAGCCCTGATTCAACCACCAATCCAAAGCGGTTTTGGAGTTTCATCAACAGCAAACGATGTGACTCATCTGGTGTGGCCTCACTGAAATCTACTGATGGCCTGACATATTCAGATAGTGCGTCCAAATCTAACATACTAAACAGACAATTCTCGTCTGTTTTCACAAGAAATGAAGACATGACCAACATGAAAGACATGGGTAGAAGTCCTTATCCATCTATGGAAGCCATCACCATCCAACCAGCTGGTGTGCTAAAGATCGTGTCAGAGCTACAAGTCCACAAAGCCACTGGGCCTGATGAACTCCCTTCAAGGCTATTGAGGAGCTTAGCAAAGGAGCTCACACCTGGACTGACAGTCTTCTTTCAAGCATCCCTTGATCAAGGAGAGGTCCCAGATGACTGGAAGAATGCAAACGTTGCTCCTGTCTTCAAGAAGGGCGAACGGTACAGACCAGAAAACTACCGACCAATCTCGCTAACATCAATAGCATGTAAAGTCTTGGAACACATAGTCCACAGTAACATCATGGACCACCTTGAAGACCATGACATACTCTCTGACGCCCAACACGGATTCCGTAAAAAGCGATCTTGTGTCTCGCAACTTACTCTTGCCATCCAAGATCTTGCCAGGGGCATAGATAACAGGGAACAACTTGATGTCATCCTCCTAGATTTTGCCAAGGCTTTTGACAAGGTGCCACATGGAAGGCTTCTTCACAAACTGAATTTCTATGGCATACGTAATTGTACCCATGCATGGATAGCTGACTTTCTTCGTGATCGTATGCAGCAGGTAAACCTTGAAGGAACCGTCTCTACCAAGACCCAAGTGACATCTGGAGTTCCGCAGGGTAGCGTCGTCGGCCCAATGTTATTCCTGCTGTTCATTAACGACCTACCAGACTACCTCTCTCCTGACACCACTGTTAGACTCTTTGCAGATGACTGCCTAGTTTATCGCAGCATCGGGTCAGAAGCTGACAGTGCACAACTCCAGGAAGACATCAATTCACTGGAGCAATGGGAAGCCGACTGGCTAATGGAGTTCAACCCGAAGAAATGCCAGGTCCTCCATGTGTCAAACAAACGCAAGCCTATCATCAAACCCTACATCATTCATGGACAAACTCTGGAGCATGCAGATACAGCGAAATATCTTGGAATTCATCTGCACAAGAAGCTGAGTTGGAACTACCACATCGACCAAGTAACAAGGAAGGCTAACTCCACCCGAGCCTTCCTCCAGAGAAACATCAGATCATGCCCACGAAAAATCAAAGTACTCTGCTACCTCACCCTACTTAGACCAGTCATAGAATATGGAAGCATCATCTGGGATCCCTTAACCCAAGCCAATACCAGGAAGCTAGAGATGATACAGAGAAGATATGCACGCTTTGTTTGCAATGACCATCGCAGAACAAGCAGTGTCACAGCCATGCTCGACCAACTACGCTGGCCATCTCTGCAAGAAAGGAGAGCCCAAGCGAAGGTAGCGATGATGTTCTGTATCAAGAACTTGCTGATATCCATCACACAGACAGTTCTGACTCCATCACTACCTGCTTTGCTTAGAGGCCACGACCAGAAACTCCAAGTGCCATATGCTCGGACACAAGTTCTTCAAAGGAGCTTCTTTCCAGATGCCACCAGACTCTGGAACTCACTACCGCAGGCCGCCGTCACCTGTACCTCTCTGCTAAGCTTTAAGAGAGAGGTACTCAAGATCCAGCTCCGTTAAGCTATGGATGTCTTTTTAACTGCACATAGCTCATTGTTAGGCACATTCATGGGGCACTAGAGGGCGCTTCGCTCGAGTACGACAATCTGAATGGCCTTGCTGCGGTGGGTCGGCAATAATCAGCCCAAAACTTGGATATGGGAGGTTGGAAGGATATATCTTTTTTATAATGTTATCCGGTCTTACCCTTAACCATCCTATGTTTAATCTATGTAGAAATAACATGCGAGTGTGATAAGAGAAACATCGGGCCCATTACTGAAGTAACTTTTTAAATATTAGCCTAGAAATGACCACCAAACAGAAAAAATTGACATTTTTTCCCGACAAATCTTCATAAAATCTGAGTTATAAACAAGTCACATCTAGGTACACTAATACAAATACGATTTTCTGAAAATTCAGGTATGATTTATTAAGTTTCTTTCAAGTATATTTCTGCGCATTGCAGCGCCAATATTCTACACTGCTTCAAAATCACACTTGAATTTTTTTTTTGCAACGAATTTGATACGAGGTCCGCGAGTGTTCCCCGTTCCTTGCGTGTTGAAAGTTTGGTAATACATAGTTTGCATTGACTCGCGCACGAAAAAATGGTCGAAAACAAAATGTCAAATGAAGAAATAAACAAGCTTTTGTATAGTTATAAGAGTTCTACCGAGGTTTCTTGGTCGATTCAATTGATTATATAGTCTCAATTAGAATTCAGAATTATCTCACTGAAAAGTTAAGAAACCGACGATGTTCTCGATCTTAGTTATTTTCATTTTGCCAGCAGCCGATCTAGCGTTGTTTGGGCAAAAAGCTAGGCCGCTGCCTTCCCACGCGAACCCTTCCGAGTCCCGCTAAAATGGCGCTCTGCGGAGCTCCGAAGCTGCGTTGGTATCGCTGCAAACTCTCAGCCAGCTAGCTCCCCACGAAGGACCATTCGCGGTATGGCGAGAGTGTGTGTGTGTGAAGTATGATTTTGGATTCGAGAACGCACGTAATGCAACCGTGCGCGTCATTTTCAGCTGTCGAATGTATACGACCAATTTTACATGTACGATTTTTAGTACAGATACTTGGTCAGTTTTCTTCTTATATCTTTGGTTTTACAACATTTAAAAATATAATTTCTTCAAATTTGCTCCTGACTCGGTTCAGACTAATTGTCTGATGTGTTTTCAAGTCAATTTTTTTAATATATTTTTTTGCATGAATTTGCCTATCATTGTAGACCTTTTACTGAGACACTACATGTATATATACACCTGCACAGCACCTACAATCAGTACGAGAATACACCCGACGGTGGCCTGTACTTATAGCGAAGAAGAAGAAGAAGACACAATTTCGAGCTCCGGGATAATAATATTACGAGTCTGAAAATAGTGCGTTAATTGGCAAACTCGAGCTGATGAAAACAGGCCTTCTCGCCCTCGCTTCTTTCTGTCTAAGAGTCAGAATCAGATAATAGGGTCTAGATAAACACAGGCAGATACACGTTCCATAAATCACCATTTTGATTTGTGACTATTTTTGTACAAAACGTTCATCATGCTGGACCTGCTCATTGCTTTGTTGGCGTCGCGTCGCCGCCTGGCATTTTCACTCTCTACATGCCTACGTGGAAATGGACGGATGGGTCTGAAGGAGAAATTATGTCACCCTTTCTTTCGCAGTTAATGAGCACGCAAAAACCGATACACTACCTACTTTCATCCATCAAATATCCCTAAAATCAAATGAAAAACAAAATGAATCCTTTCTCTTTCAAAATGTAATATCAAAAACCGACTTGATACAAAATAAAAGGTGTAAAATGCTAAAACAAATCGACAAATACTCACTTGCAACAGACATTTTGGGAGATTCACCGGTGCGCAATGACTTCTGGGAAATATCAGGTCGGATCGAGAGATTTCCGGAACGTCGGCTGCTTCGCTCTGTTTATCTCAACACGTGCATATAAATCTATGATTTACTCTCAAAACTTGTTGAATATTCAAAATGAATAAAGCAATCGTTACTCCGAGGTTAGTATCAGTTTTTTGTTTTACAGGATTGATCTATCATGGATAATTTATGAATTTAATTTGATAAGAATTGTTATGTCGTATACGCCCACCGTCTTTAGGCCGGTCCCGTACGTAAACTTTTGTGTAAAGTTGGGTCATCATAACTGAACACTAAATTAATAACATTAAACATTAGCATGACAAAAGCAGAGTAAATTCCGACGTTTGTCTTATAGCCTGAATACGCCAAAGTCATTTTTCAATAAAATGTCCTGACATAGTGACTATCTTTATCTAGGCTTAAGAACCATTCTTTGCTAACACTTGTTTAGACCTCTAGGGCTAGGCTCTAACAACATTTTAAATTAAAAAATAAAACAAAATTTTTGTAATCATTTACAATTTAATAATAGGCCTAACTTAGATCTAGTCTATTTAGGCCTACACGAATTAGTTTAACTAAACATTTAAATGTAAATTAAAGTTTAATAGGATGTAGGGTGCAGTTTGCTCTATAGACTTAACCCTTTTATTGACAGTTTGTAGCTCTTTAGTCTTCAGTAATTTAGGCCTGATAACAAAAAACAATTTATCTGAAGGAAGAAGCTGGAGAAAATAATATATCAACCAATATTGGTATGCTTATAATTGTTATCCACTATGGATATAATTAGGCTAATACCTGATTGACATTCAAATTCCCTGTGATTATCTTGCCTCCCCCTTTATTTTAGTTGGTGCCAGATATAAACCTTCCCAATTAGCTGGCAAAGAGTTGAAAAATGAGAGAATGAGAGAAATTGACCTTTATAACTTCCTTCGTTGATCTAGAACTCTGAAGAACACAGAGACTGGGATTGATATCACTGTGCCAGAATTTCGCACCATCACCAAGCTTCTTTCCAACCAAGAAGAGTTTCATGTCATCGTCATCTCCAGCTTGCCTTACTTCAAGTCACCAGATCACAAGCCTGAAGATGTGGTCCAATTTATGGTCAGTATATTTGATTATTTTAATTTCAAGTATTTTTTGCTTTGTTCTCTCTTTTTTGCATCTTCCTTGCATCCTCATTCACCTAAATTTATCATTTGATTTACCTTCCATCTGCCAGTGCTTTTTTCATGTTTTTTCATGTTTTAACTGCTATATGTTAACATTATATGCTTAAATGTGTAAAAGCTATATTTGTGAGAAGAAAAAAAAAAACAACAACCCCAAAACAATCACAACAACAAAAAACCAACAAACAGTTTTTGATCTAATCTGCTTTATGTGAGCTAACTCAATAAATACGAAAGGAAAGAAAAGGAAAAAAATTGAAGCAATTATGAAAAAATAAATGTACTATTATCATATCATACATTAATTATTCTGGAGTTTTAACAAGTGGTGGGGAGGGGAGGGGGGGGGGGGAGGACATAATTCCCCCTGTACCCTGTCTGGATCCAATGTAGGATGCCACATTTGTTTATTTTTCCTTCTATACACGCAGGTGCCCAAATGGTATAGTGACTTTGAATCCTTGCACAAGGCCATGAGTGACCGCTATCCTGCAACCATCTTCCCTGACCTGCCTAAGAAGGTACTGATGGTCCGAGACAGCACTCCCCAGGGGAGGCGGTCTGCCTTCGAGAAGCTGATGCAGTTCATCGCTGCTAGCCCCAAAGTTTGCTGCTCTCCTATCCTACTGGAGTTCTTAGGTAATCAGGGGCCCGTTACTCGAAATCATCATAAGTCTAAGTTTGTGGACATTCCATTGAAAAGTGTGTTATAAAATTAACACTTGCTTCTAGGGGATGTCTACGAATTTAAACTTATGACGGTTTTGAGTAATGGGCCCCAGTTTCACGATTAAAGCCCAACCCACCAAACCTAACCAAACCAAACCAAACCAAACCAAACCAAACCACAGCAAACCACAACAAAACAAAACAAAACAAACAACATCGATCAACCACAAAAAAGCATCACTGTACATACTTAATATTCAACATATTCATTGTTGATTTTTGAGAGAGAACAAGCAGCAATAAAACAAGGTTTTATAAAACGACTGACATCTTCATGAAACTGTAATCCTGGGTATACCAATATCGGGCAGGCTGACTCCATTGGATTGATTCTGTTTACAATATCCTAATATCCTTAATATCCTAAATCTATTGATATATGGACAAAAATTATGTGGTTACTCGTAATGAATATAGGAATACTATGTTGTTATACGTGCCAATTGCTCTATGGATGTTTGATTTGATTTGATTTGAATTATTAGTTTCGTCTTAGGTGCTAAGATGCAGTAGGCCTGATACATATTATTTCTTAATTTGTTACGAATAATTTATTTACATAGTCAGAATGCAAATTGCATATAATACATGTTGTTAGGTCGGGTAAGACATAATCTTTGTTCTACCTAGCAACAACTAATGTATACAATTTGAATTCTGACTATTATTAGAGAGTTGATATCGAGATGCTTCACATAAGCATATTCAAAAAATTTGGTTACATTACGGAAATGGCCTATATTGCTCATTGAAGTTGGACTAATTTTTGTTAAATGTTTTTTCAAGTTTAAAGACTCCCTTGAAAGTGCATTTACTCTGCAGTCACTATCTAATTTCAAACAAGGGCACACCTGTAACCGTCAAACCAATGGAATCATGGTCTGTGTCTGAAAACAGTACAAAAATGACCTATTACACTGTGATAAGAGAAAGACACCTGTGTGACCTCCATACACATTAACTGTGTTCACACGATAACATCGAAGTTTAAAACTAAGTTTGCAAAACTTTGAAGCGATAAACAATGATAACATCAAAGTTTAAAACTAAGTTTGCAAAACTTTGAAGCTATAAACAATGATCCACCAACAGCGACAAGGGTTCACACGGGACCGTAAAAACAAGCATGTAAATTTTACTACAAGCAGGGGGAGGGGTCAGTTAATTTTTTTAAAAAAAGGAAAAAAAAATTCTATCTTGTCAAGATTATTATTGTTGATTACACAGTGATTCATAAATTGTTATACCTCACCATTTTATTGTTACCATTTCTGTGAAGTCACATGGATTGGAAAAGAAGGCCTTTTGGGTAATAGTTATTTAGTTAAATCTTTTTCCTTTCCTGGCATCCATGTGACTCTTTTCCAAATGTACTCTTGTTTTGTATTCAATGATTTTCTTAGTTTTTGCTGAATAAATAATAATAATAAGCTGGTGCATATACCTCAAATTTAATTGTGTCCCCACAGCGCATAATATTAACTGAGGACCCCCTGCTACTCGTAGTTAATGAGCCAACCTTATGATCTGTTGTGGTTTGTTTCTTTGAGTTAAATTTCATAACCATGAGTGCATCCGCACGATCCCTAACTACTAGATAACTTCAAAGATTAAAAACCACAACCAAAACTAAAAGTTAGTGACTGCCGTGTGAACCTCGCTTTAGTTAATACCTTCTCTTGACTTCCTTCCTATCTGTTTCTTTTCACACTCTGCAGGTGTTCCTTCATCCAAGATAGGTGCTGTTGAGGGACAGGAAAAGGAATCAGAAAGCAGAGGAAGTGGAGATGGTACACAAAAGGATGATATGAAATCTCCCACAAAGCAAGTGTTTATTTTTTATTTTAGATGATCACCCTATATTTAATAATAAAAGAACAAAAACATTTGAAGCTGGAAATTTGTTTAGCTTGAAAGAGCAATTCATTCTTCGCAACAACGTTGCTTGCTCACAATTCAATCAAATTTTGCCCAAACGTATATGAAATTCATGTACATATAAAGACTTGGCATATAGGTTCAATTAAGCAGCTAAGTTTTTTTTTGCTGACTTTCATTTTGACATATTGTTCTTGCCCTGGCATGGAGGAAGTTCTGATGTAATGTTGATAACATTGAGTACTGGTCGTGTGATTACACTGAAAGTAACTTTTAGTTGAAGCAAAGGAAAAGGTTGATTATGTATCTGGTACAGAAGAACTGATGTATACTCTGAGGTGAAAAAAAACCCTCCAAAAAGTGAGAATCCTCTCAAATTATTTTTGGCTTTACCAGCATTAAATTTTCTTCTCATACACGATCTATAATTCACATGTTATATGTAACAATATACCTATAGATGATATGTATTAGTCCTGCTAAATCAGGCATGTTCCAAATGTAAGCTTTGGAGCTGTAGAGAAGAAGTCTCCTTTAAAGTACCGTTAAACTTTTGAAATAAGTTTTTGAAAATCAATCCAAACGATTTATGAATCAATCAATAAGGAATTCAATTCTCCTCAAGTTGTGATTTAATGTTTCCCAAGCAGAACTCGTCTTAAAACTCTACCAGAAAGGAGAATATGAGGATATAAAAAGAAATCAGCGACTGGAAAATGAAATCAAATGAAAATAAAAAATCCATCATATATACTCATTAACATCAAAAAATCTAAGCTCTGACAGGATAGCATTTACGTAGGCATATCACTGCCTTTTACTCTCACTAAGCCTATGATCACCGTTCGTGACGTCAGGAATAGAGGACCTGACTCACCGTGCAATTCCGTGTTTCAGACTTGGAGATTTTGGTGGAGTTTACTCTCATAAATTCACCATTCTTAACTTGTTTTGTCGGTTAGAGACCATTTAGTGTTATTTTAGGGGTTAAAAGCTTTCTATTGATGTAATTATCTCAATATTTGGGATTGTCTTAGAATGTCAACTTTAAAGCTATGGATTTTGGAGTTCTTTGTACCAATGTCTGAATATCATTCGTTTTCAAATCAACACTATTCCTCTGTCTAAATATTGATTCATTTCTTTAAAACATCCAGGGATAGACCTTTCAGATTTACTCAGACACTGAGGCAAATACACCATTTATCTACTTTCATGAATTACGCCTGCAGGTGTTATCAATATCTGAATAATACATTTGTCTGAATACTATCATACCTCTTACTTTTCATAAAGTTTTGATAGTACATGGACAAAAATATTATATCATTCAATCTTTTTAACAGATCTGTCAAAAGTCAGAGCTCCAGTCTCTTTGGAGAAGAAGACTCAGATGATGAACTCTTTAAAACTGAGAAAGGTGATGTAGATGAGGCAGACAGTGACCTCTTCTCTCCTAGTCCTCGCCATGCTCCACCAAGTACCAAGGGTGAGTGAAACTGGTCACCAGTCAAAGCTTTCCAATCATTTGTGAAAATTGGATGATGTGCACATTGTGTGTCTAGGGCAAATATGTTTGCATGGCATATATGCATGGTTGTGAATGAATTTGAGATAAATGGGATTGAACTAGTAAACTGACAGGTTTTGCAGCTGAATTTTAGCCTGTACAATATGTCCTTGAGCAATTAAAATTAGTCCACACAAACTTTGTATTGCGTGAGACCTTTATTTATTCATATTTATAGAACACTAAAAACATCTGCTCACCTAGATCTGCTAAATGGGATATTGGTTGTGTAATTTAATATTGATATTTCTGCTTTGTTGTCGAATAATGTAGGTTGTTCATCCATATTGAAATTGATAGGCATATAATATGAATAACTGCACTTTTCCCTTGTGGTGATGTGTATTACAATAATTGAAAAAAAAGGAATCCTGTCACAGATGGGGGTAATTGGTTTCTGGTTTGATTACAGAACATGACTGGAAGGAGTAGACAAAAGTAGGAGATACATGATTATTAGGGAAATTAGAAAACTTCAGTTCTTTCTTACCCACATGTAGCTCAAGATGGATTAGGCAGTGACTAATTGACCTGGTAGCCATGCAGGCTGAAAGAGTTTGACTAAAATCATAATGCTGATGATGATATTGATAATTAGGGTTAGGATGATGGTGATTATGATAATGATGAAGTATATGATGTGTATATAATGATGACAAATATGCATAACTTTTATTGTTGTTAATTTTGTTATGATGGGATAATGGTGGTTGTTATGTTGATGATGGTGATGATGATGAATGTGGTCATGATTAAGATGAAGATGATGACAAAGACAATAGAGTGAATAATTATGAGGATAAAATATGTATTGCTTGTGTTGGTAGATAACCTCATATTTTGTATGTTTGTGTGCCTGTGTATGTGGGAGATCCTAATAAGTCTGAAGAATCAAATTAGCCATATTCAAACCTAAAAATAAAACCACAAACTGATGTTCCAACAAAGCTCTACATAGAAGTTACACGCACAATGCAAGCGCAACTAAGCATATTAAAGCTCCAACCTGTGGCTCCATGACTGTTCAACATTATGAGAAAAACTACATAGAGATAAGGTGAGTAGACATTTTCAATTCTTTACATGTTTTGAAATAGTTCACGTAGATAATACACTATACTACTTGTTTCATTGTTGTCATTCTTGGCACAAGTCCCACTGCTTTATAATATCAGATTCAGAAATCTTTAAGGTTAACCTTGCTGTAGATGTGTTTACGAACCTCAGTCCAAAGGTTGATATTTGTTTTGATCAAGTACTTACTAGTCTAGTGAACTTGTTCTTTGTAAAATGTACATGTATATAGACTAATTGTAGCAAGGAGTTGTAGACAGCTGTGATTTCCCTTTGCTAGTAGTTTGATCTCACTATGTAGAAGTTTGTGATTATAAATTTCACATAGTAGTAGTCTGTCCACTGAGCCAGGGGTGGATCCAGGATTTTGTTAGAGAAGGGGCTCATCATTCCAAAATTTGCTGACAATTTTCTTGCAGTTCCTTTTTACTCCCTCCCCCCAAAGAAGTGTACCAGGATTTCAGTGCCTTTTAGTCTAAACAAAATAATGAAATAAAGACAAAGAAATTTGAAATAATATGTTATCATCTTAAAATGGGGAAGGGGTACCAGTTTGGATGTGTGTACTAAAAGTATAACATGGCTTGTGCCCCCTTGTGAATCTGTCACTATACTGTGTAACATAATTATTTATACAGCTATAGAAAAATGTAGACAAAAGCAAATTAATTTGTGTCCAACAATCCTCTTCAAATTTTTTTTTGAAGTAGAATTAGACAATTATTTAATTGGTGCCGTAGATATAAATGTCATCTCATTACTTCTATGCAGCATCAGACTGCTGCCTACTGTCCTGAAGGATTGATTGATCCCCAGTGTTTTCAAAAGTCTCATCAAAATCTAATTTAGCCAAGTTTAAGCTTACATAGATCTGTAAAACATTTGTTTCTAAAGCCTGAATTTGTCACTTGATTCTAAAACCCAATTTAAATGTAAATTTGTGTTTTCTCATGTGTCAGTTTTGTAGTTTCATTTATTTGATTATTCAGAGAGGTATGCCAAGTATTTTATTTTTTCTTTGTCAGCCAAGGTGTTATTAATCTCTTGAAACCAGCAAATTTAGTTCATGTGGTGATCCTGATTCCTTACCTTAAAAAAGTACACCATTCTCGTTATTTAGCCCCACCCCCTTGAATGTTCTGGTAGCAAGTGAACCACTTTACACTTGCCGTTACTGATAACAATCATACATAAAATTAACATTTATACAGTGCTTCACATCCATACATGTATATTTTTCCTAAGTGAATGAATATCTTTAAGTTTTCCAATCGTCTTTCTCTTTCCAAAAGGCAAAAATTTAGGGCATAACATATATAATACGCCAAGTATGCCAAGTATTTTATTTTTTCTCCGCCGGTCAGCTAAGGTGTTATTAATCTATTGAAACCAGCACATTTAGTTCATGTGGTGCTGCTGATTCCTTACCTTCAAAAAGTACACCGTTCTTATTATTTATTTATTTCCCCTTGAATGTTCTGAAGTGAACCACTTTACACTTGCCGTTACTGATAACAATCATACATAAAATTAACATTTATATAGTGCTTCACATCCATACATGTATATTGTTCCTAAGTGAATGAATATCTTAAAGTTTTCCAATCGTCTTTCTCTTTCCAAAAGGCAAAAATTTAGGGCATAACATATATAATACAAAAGACGATAATTAGTCATCTGAGGTCGTCGTTGGAACTTGAAATCCTTTCTTTCAAATAGATTAGTTAAAAATTCAAAATTTAGAACAAAAACATGATTTGTAATTACTTCACTTTAAGCATGAATTATCAAATGTATGAAAATAGGAAATAATTTCTTATGTGATTGTTTTTTAAAAAACAAAATGTCAACAGAAATATCTGGGTTTCTTTAATATTTCAATACTTTAGACATGTATTCATCTTCAAAGACTTTATATAGACAACCAGTCAGTTATTGAAATTATTATTTTGGATCGAAATTTTTTCTCTCACTAGTTGTGACCTTCTCTTAATCGAGCAATCATGCTCTATCAAATTCTTTCTCGTTTCAATAGCCATAAGTGCTACAAATGCACATTCCGGAACTCTAATTTGTAGTGCCTTGCCTGTCCTTTTGTGTACCCGCCTGCACTTCATAATTCTAATTGCATGAATAAATAATGGGAGCAAAGAGACGTACTTCCCGTGACATCTATCAAATTGGTTTTGAGTCCTGTGAAGCCGGCTGGGAAATTGTCCAGTTGATAGATGATTAGTACATTGTGTGCCTCTTAATAATTCATAACTGGATATCCTTGAGCTAATGAAATTAAGGATTCTGCACAAAACGGTCCAATTTTCTCATCAGTCACTTTTTACATTGATCAGTGATTGACCTGGTTATGCTGAAAGTAGCGTTGTGGTTATTACATCTTTTTCTATCAAAATAATTCTTCATGCACATCTTCAGAAAGTTTTAAACAGTTTAATAATCATTCATTGTCTGGATGAAATAATTTTAAATGTCTAATTACCTTTCATTTTTTTTAAAAGTTGTTAACAAAATAAGTAGGGTGTAAATATTTCATGAGGTCTAATATTGTATATGAGTGCTGCTCTAAACTTTTAATTAAATGACCTCGAAATGGCAGAAAATTATATTAATTTCCAGCAGGTCTCGGGGGAAACAAGGCCAAACAATAACAAATTGCTCCCCATTTAATTTGTAAAAACCGTTTTAGTATGTTTTTATTAAATCAAATGACATTGAATATGCTCAATTGTTCTTTGAAGGTCATTTTACCAATTCATTCATTTTTGAATTCATTTTTATTTCAAATTCTCATAAAAAACAAAAACAATATATTATACAATATATTATACGTATAAGAAAATATATAAACAATACAAAGAATATGGAGGAGCCAGCAGAGGCAATTCACATTTAAAAGGCTGTGCTCCAATGGCCACAGATAATTATACAAAGTAAAGAGAAAAGAAAGAGTGGGTAGTACATGAACAAATGTGTACAGGCTAATTAAACATAATTGAGATAGAAACTCCTTCATTAGATGACGTTTATATTTTCGTTTGAATGAGGCAAGAGATGGGCACATTTTTATATTCAGTTTCAGTTTTATTTTTCATTTCCAACAGAACAGTAATTATGACAAGAAATCAGATATACAATTCAACATTCAATAATATAATATATTTTATATTGTTTAAAGTTGTGAAATAGAAAGTATACATAATTATCCAGTATAATGGGTTTTTAAATTAAAAAAAAAAGAAGATAAACCTGTGGAAATGGAGGGATCCACTGAAAAGCAGAGCTTGTAAAATGTGTATCCCTCAAAATAATGACAAACATAATTTTTGTAACATGTAAATATATCGACTTCAAAAACATATATATATATATATACATAGATTGCCAAAAAGTGGCAGAATAATAATACAATTGTAACTCTGTAATTTGAAAACTTGTAACGCTAAAGTATTGTGAGCACTGGAAAGGTCAAAAGAGACAATGACGACTGACAGATAAGACATAAATACTAATAATTAAAAAAGAATATATAAGACAACAGAAAATAAAGAGAGAAATGGAAGAATAGAAAATGTTGCTGCATATGTGATGATTAAAGAAAAAGAGTGGAGAGGTGGGTATTGCATTCCAAGTAATCACTCCAGAATATTTTACTGGTTTCCATGAAGTATGGTATTTTAACAATGGAATATATAAATCATTAACATATCTTGTGTAATATGGATGAACATCCTTTGTTATTTTGAACATATTATCAAAAATGGAAGGTAATATATTATTATTGTACATATACATAAATGATCCAACTTGCAGTTCATGTATTTGAAATATGGGGTGAGAGTTTGTAATTGCATGTAGTGCTCTTTTCTGTAAAACACAATACAGCTTTTCCACCATAAAAAGAGATGCAATGGCTCAGTGGTAGAGCAGTAGTCTCGATGTGTTGGTAAGGCATTAATCCTCATTACCAAGTGTTTCGGAGAGGGCTGAAAGCCGTCGGTCCCCTGGCTTTTTACTTACAAGCATACACATGCTTTCTTAGCAGTCAGGTAAAACAAACCACCTAACCAAACCAAATTAGTTTCCCTCTTCTAAACAGAACTTTTCATTTCAGCATAGTCAAGAAAATAATTAATATTACCAAATACAATGGGATGGTATTTCAATGATTTCTATTAAAGAATAGTGGAAAAAGTAGATACAAACAATGTAAGGAATCGTTAAGCAGTTTATATGTCTCAGGTACTCCATTAAAGCCCCACTGCACTACGTATGGCTACCTACACCCTCTATATAGCAAACAATGCCTAATCGGTGACCATTGCTCCCCATGGTCCCCTTTTTCTTATGTTAATTGAGAGCTGATTTTATTAGATAACCACCTGTCAGTGACCACGCATGGAGGTCTAATCCCTCCTAGCCAAACTAGTGCCAAAAGGCCTTTAATACATTGCTTGTCATTAGGAAAAAATTATAGTTTCCATTAAAAACTAGGAGTACTGTAATATCACGATTATCTAGCTATATTAATCATATCCTTTGGGGCAACTCTTTGCAATGCTGCAAAGCTGATGGAAATTGAAACCCCAATTCAATCATGCTACCAGCAGTTGTAAAATCATCGCCTGGATGGTTTTGTGTTTGAATGATAAAAGAGAACACAGACATGCTCTTTGGCATTTTAATTTCTCACCCACTTTGTAATCCCTTTTCAATTAGGGGATTGATACATTTGTCTGCCATAGACAGTCACTATAAAATTTCAAACCAATATGAATTTACTTTAGAAATTAAAGGGCGTTTCAATTCAGTAATAGGGGCCATGGCAGTAGATGATCATAATTATCTATACACTTTCTATTCTTCCCATATCAAAGCACTAAAATGATTATTGCCTGAGGCAATATTCCATTAAAGGTAGACCATATTTCGATATATTTGATACGTGAACAAAATAATTTGTAAAACGAAACCAAATGAAATATTATCTCAACTGTATTATTCATCATTTTCAAGTATTCAGTTGAAAGTGTTAGATCTTTGTTGAGACCTATCTAAAAAATGCACGTTATTGTCGAGGTTTTAATCAAAATGATTATTGGATGATGTTTTCAAGAGACACTTGCTTTGAACTCTTTTGAAATTAAATTTACATATATTTTCAGTTTTTAGATAATATGTCATTTTCTGTGTATTGTGCAGCTTTTGTTGTAAATAAAACGATTATTGGGTGATGTTTTCAAGAGACACTTGCTTTGAACTCTTGAAATTAAATTTACATATATTTTCAGTTTTTAGATAATATGTCATTTTCTGTGTATTGTGCAGCTTTTGTTGTAAATAAAACGAACAGACCAGTTCTAATTGCCTATTTTGCTGTCGAGGTTTTAATCAAAATAATCATTGGTTGATGTGTTCAAGAGACACTTGCTTTGAACTCTTTTAGAGAAATATGACATTTTCTGTTTATTATGCAGCTGTTGTAAATAAAGCAAACATACCAGTTATAACTGCCTACTTTCTGCAGCATTCATTTGGGTAGAAACTTTATCTCTGCTGTAGATGCACATGTGCTGAGTGGT